TGAGTTTGCGTTACCATATGTATATATCGCTGAAATTATTATATAGTCATTTGTACCTTTCTTAAATTGGTAAAGTAGTGGAATCATGCGTATATATTGCGGTAAACTATTCCACAATCGTGCCCCACTGTAACTCAAGCTTCTTTTTAAGAAATTAGTCAGTGGCTTGGGTAATTTTAATTTGACTTCAGAATTCCTGAAATTATGCCTTGTGCCACGAAGAGAGAAAAGATTTTGCAAGTAAGAGGGCGTATGCTCTTTCAGTATCTTGAAAACCAAAATAGTTTTGAGTTTCTTGCGTCTCAAAGAGGGCTTATCCAACTGCAAACTATCCCGACCACTGGCGCTTGTGTCATAACTCGACCTTGTTATGTCCCTGACCGCCCGGTTCTATAATTTCTGTACTTTCATACTATGATTTTCACCTACACCATCCCAAACGGAGCAGCAGTAGTCAAAATGAGGCTGTATCAACGCATAATACACCTGAATTGCTGTACATATAGTTATGAATAGTCAAATACTATTGCAGAAGCAATATTTTTTAGAAATTTTGTCTATGTGCACTGACCATGAAAGGTGGCTATCGATATGTACCCCTGAGGATTTAACATGTTAACTGCATTCACCGTATTTATTTCACAGTCATTGATTCCTATAGTTATATCATCCTGGTTTGCATTGATTCTCTGTCGAAATCCAATTATCATAAACTCGGTTTTTGCATGCAATGTTTAGACTGAGCTTATTATAGTAATAAGCCAGCTGTTAAGATTTTCCAATTCGGAGTTAATGACATTTTGTCAAGTCAAGTCGTTAACATGGATATAGGGAACAACAGAGGTCCCAAATTACTACTTGTGGGACACCACAACTAACTGGGGTTGAAAGTTCCCCATTGACGGTACATTTCTGTGTACATATATAGGTCAATAGTTACTCGGATCATTTTCTGAACCACTTTTGAACAATGGTGATACTCTAGCTTTCTTTCATTCATTGGGAAATATACCCGTATAAATAAACTTGGCCTGGAAATTATTTCTGTTAAGGGCGGTGCAACCACATCCGCTGCAATTTTTATTAATTTATTTAAAATATTATCTAGACCAATAGATTTCTTTTCATCAAGTGTTTCTACTTTGTAGCAATCTATGAACTTTTTGAATTGTTGGGACTTGTAATGAAAACGTTTTATCAGTAGGTTTAAGGTAAAACTCAGGGTTAAACTCGGAGAATGGTATTTCAGCGGCAAGATTACTACCAACATTTTAAAAGTTGCTATTGAAAGTTTCAGCTATTTCAGCAGATGATGTTATAATATAACTCCCCTAATTTACATTCCGTAATGGTCTTGTAATCTTGCGGTTTTGTGAATTTAACTCGTTAATCAGTTTGCAAGTTTTTTCTTGTCATGTTTATACAAATCAAGATTTTTTGTAAAGTAATGTCGTTTACTCGCCTTTCGCTTTTTTAGTTTCGTTATTAATCTGATTTCGTGTTTGTCTGTATTCATACCACTGATTCATACACGCGCCAGAGTCCCCAGTCGAAATAATTATCTTTTTAAAATAATCTTTCGTGTTACTAAACCGCCTGGATCTAGTTGGTGCATGTTTATCAATTATTTACGGAAAGTGAAAAATATCTTTTTTGTCACGTAAGATTATTTGTCCACCTAAACAAAAAATTATTTCGGGTGAAGCTAAGTCATATATGCCTTTGGAAAGTAGCCAGCCACATTTTATTTGTCCATTGAAGCAAAAACTCATTTTGGGCAAAACGAAGTCAATAAAAATGGCTTTCAAAAAATTTCAATCTTTTATTAAAACTCTCTGGATGAAGCGTCATGAAAATATCCGTTTGATATGCAACAACATTTAATTCATAGCAAGTATTCTCTCACTTGAGGCTTTACATTACAATACCAAATCATCCGAATATTTATTTAAGGCCGTTTTCCACTGGCGGAATTTTTCTTTGTCTTGTGATTACTCGGATAGAACTAGTTAGAAAAGAAAAAGCGAAATTCTGCTCCGCGCGGAAAATTCCGCCCAGTGGAAACGGCCATAAAGCCGGTTTTCCACTAGGCGGAATTTTGCGCGCGGAGCGGAATCCTTCTTTGTCTTTTCTAATTAGTTCCACCCGAGAAATCACAAGACAAAGAAAATTCCGCTCCGCACGCAAAATTCCGCCTAATGAAACCGGCTTAAAGGACAGGTTGCATGCAGAAGGCCGAATAACGGTATCTTGCAGTGGTGATTTTTTGGCGCTGCTGGTTGATTGGTGGATTAAAATTAGTATTTATAAGGGGCTGATTACATGGAGCGATTTCAGCCCTGGATGAGTTTCAACCCGGCTACCCGGACTGAAAAATTTGACGATTTTCAATCTGATTCAGGCCCGGGTAAATTAATCGCAGTCTTCCCGGGAGTACGAAATTAAGTGAAGTGTAAGGAGTTTCAGCCCGGGCTGAAGTAATTACATGGCAAGAATTTCAGCTCGGGTAGCCCGGGCTGTTTTTCTTGCATGTAATCGCGCGCGGGATTTTATTGGCATTTATCCGAGTTAAGGCCGAGTTCAATCTTCAGCCTCAGTAGCCGGCCTGAAACTCAGCCATGGATAAAATCGCTCCATGTAATCAACCCCCAAATTAAGGGTTTTTAATGGGCCTTGTAGCTTGAAAAATTATCGAGTAGAAATTTATTCAAATTTATCAGACCTAACCACGGTAGGAATCGAACCTGCGGCAATGCGATTCTCATGCTGTGCGCCAAGCTGCAGAAACCAGTTGTCGTGCTCAAACCACAACTTGTATTTAAATGTCAAAATGTGTATAAATTTCCACTCCATTATTTTTCCTTCTACAGGACCCATTAACTATTACTGAATCGAGTGAGATGCATATAAAATCTTGATACTTATACCCATAAAGGCTTTTTGTAATACTTGCGCATGGGGTTCATATCTGTGGCTTTACAGCTTTCAGGTACATTTTGCAAAAGTTGAAAAACGACTATCCGGTGGATAGCGCTACCCAGCCTTCATACAACCGGCCCCAGGTGATTAGTTAAACATCTCCATGCAAGTATAAAACGAACACGAAATTGGTATGTTTGAGCATTTGCCAGCGAAGACATCGTTGAAATGCTTTTGTCTCATCCACCTACCCTCGGCTGCCACACTTCCGGAGATAGCTTCGCCGCATTTTATACCGATGATTAAAATTCTTTAGCCCCAATATTTTATCTCTCTTTAGTTAATTAAAGGTATTATATGGAACGAGCGGCGAGTATATACCACTTCTATTATTAATTGTGAATATACGTAAATATAGATGGAAATTTTTTTTCTGTGTTGGTGTAGTGTACTCAGGTGAATATGATATTTGTGGTGTTAATCTGAGTATTGGGCTAGTATTCCAAAGGTCGTAGGTTCGAATCCCACCGTGGCCGGGCATATTTTTCAAGCTCGCCCGATGTGGATATACACTCAGAGTAACACCACAAATATCATATTCACCTGAATACACTACACCAACACAGAAAAAAAATTCATATTACTAGAATACATTGGTATCGAAGAAACTAGATTCTGTTCCGAAAAATCACTTACTCGAACCGTCCTGACCGCGTAGCTCAGTTGGAAGAGCATTGGGCTAGTATTCCAAAGGTCGTAGATGCATAAGAGATTCCTAAGGGACATATATAAATTTTATTTGGGAAAACGTCATAGCCTTCTTAATATTCAAATTTTCACCCGTCCCATCAGACGAATAGTGTTGCAATGTTTTTGATGGAATATATTTAATTTCAATTGGAATATATGGAATATATGGAATATATGGAATATATGTAAATACAATTACAATTGACGTATTTCTACCATTATCTGTTGTTCTTTCTTTGTTACTTTTAATCATTTTTCTATAACTAGTAATGATTAACAGTTCTACCACAGAATAATAATGCAAATGTTCATCTAATGTGTATATAAAGCGACTAAATTGTATTTATAGTTTTAGCTAGGATTACAAATTCCACTACATACAGAGTGTTTAAAAAAAAACTGAACCCTTTCAAATTCAAATTAGCTATAACGTATTGTAGTAATTTGACAGCTCTGATTGCTTTGAATTAATGGTTGGGTTATCCTGGATTCCAGAGCCTTCGACAGTAAATAATAAATTGAAACGTCGCGAAGGCTCTGGTTCAACGGGGAGATTCTTTGATTAAACCGCGCCAATCACAAAACAGAATTAGTGATTTTAGTACAGATTCTACCACTAATTCTGTTTTGTGATTGGCGCGGCTTAATCAAAGAATCTCCCCGTTGAACCAGAGCCTTCGCGACATTTCAATTTATTATTTACTGTCGAAGGCTCTGGAATCCAGGGTATAGTTGGGTAAGAACACAAGGTCTTGTACTCATGGGACAAAACTCTTAAAAACTTTTAAATTTTCTATTTTTTAATTCTTGAGTTTCGTCCCATGAGTACAAGACCTTGTGTTCTTACCCAACCATTAATTCAAAGCAATTAGAGCTGTCAAATTACTACAATACGTTATAGCTAATTTGAATTTGAAAGGGTTCAGTTTTTTTTATACACACTGTATATACTAATTAATTACAATTATTTAAATTTTCTTCCAATTCAAAAGGGTTGTTACACTTCTTTCATGAACGCACTTATTTAGTACATCACAAAGGATGCCATCATGTGGTTATATAGGCTATATGTATAAGTATGAGTCACCATTTTACTGTGGAATATTTGGTTGCTGTTCAATATTAGCAATCAGTTTTGAAAAGTCTGGATATAATTGTTTATTTTCACTGTACAGACATAGCAAACGGAAAAGCTGCTAAATAGAATTCTTTCAAATTCATCTATTCCTCGTAAATACATGGCGTAATGGAGTTACGCCATTTTTTTGGCTCTCGTAACTTTAACAACTTTCAGTTGCACAATAGTTTTTGACTCATTTCATACATTGCTCATATCTTATCTATACTATTATGCTTTTCTTACAGTCTATAGCCATTCCCTCTTCTTTTGGTCGCCATGCGACAATTTACTATGCGACGGCCCTCTTTGGCAAACATTTTGAATATTTTATTGATATTTGGATTCGTCTTTAATTCAAACATATTTGACTCTTATAAGACTTTGAAAACTTGTCTTTAAGCTGAATTTACACAGAATTCACACAAGATGCAAAGTTTACCATGACAAACGGCCTGTTCATATTAGCCTGATTACCGAAACATCTCGGCTGGTGGGACAAATCATATCGACGCTCAGATTTTGGCTACCGAGATAAAATTCACACAAAGTTACTATAAAAACTGCTTCAAATGATTCTCATATATTTCTAACATATTGTGACCACAGAAACATCGAAGGTGGAAATCATCCTTAAAGTCCACTTATTTTAACATTGGACTAATTTGATACATTGTGTTCACTAGATGGCCTCAATATCGGTTTGGCACTTCCCCATGCACGTGCGATATCTGTTTTGAGCCACCTTCATTGACTTTCCCAAAATGGTTTCAAAAGATTCAGTTGTTATTGTGATAGGATCAACTCCTGACTATTAAAAATGATCATAATTTAACTTGATAAATTTTATGTTTTTCAAAGTATCAGCTATCTTTTAAGATTACCCCATCTTTATGAAGAAGGTATCCATATCCTTAAGGTTTGGCTTTATCTAGGGCTTGTTTACATATACGCTTATCACAAGAAACTAGAGAGTATTGAAGAAATTGTCGGAATTTTCAGTAAAATCAAAATCATTCAACACATCAACACTGCACGAGCGTTTGATATTGGGTTTTCACGAAATTTACATTGTTCAAGTACAGATATATTGCGCAACAGACCTCCACGTTATTAACGAGTTAAGAATTGCTCTAGCGTTGGATAATACAGTAGAGCCTTGGTTACTTATTCGACAGAGTCGCAGAGATTAAATATGCATATATAATGATTCATTTTGTTTTTTTGTGTACAGTGATTGACGTATATGCAACATTTACAGACTGAAGAGATCCACGAATGTTATTTTCAACTAACGCTTCGTTATAACTAAAGTGAATAATTCTCAATATTGTGAATTTTAAAAATATTGATGTCGGTTTTCCCAACCAAAAGGAGTAAGCTTCGGGAGGTGATGTAGAATGAAGATACATTCCACCGCAAACTAGCTAACTCGCCTAAATATAAGGAAGTAGTGATTTTACCATCTGCCACCTTAACAAAATGTATCCAGTCACTGTCATCAACAATAATAAGATATTTGGAGTCTCCATAAATAACTCTTGTGAGACAGACTACAGACAAAGTGCGTTTATGCGTACTACGGTGCACACTATTTGAGAAGTCAACGGAAGATAAATGAAAAGCACTATCAATATCATCTTCGCCTAAGTATAACCACACGGAACTTCGAGAGTTCTTTGTCCCAGTTAAGAACAGCCACCGTACGCGACGACCATCGAACCTTCCAGCTGAATGCAATTCCCACCTATTCTTACATGCTATCTCCCACAATTGATAATCTGAATTGTGCTCGTCATACAACAAAACAGCACACCCATCTGAACTTATTATAGCAGTTGTAGCAGAATGCAGAAAAGATTCCGAATCAGATATTTGTTGAGGACAAAGCTTTTCGTTACAAAATCTTAAAATGGAGATTTCCCAAGCATAACGAATGACCAGTGCATCTTTTGCAAATTTAAGGACCACATCAAAATTTATAGTGCATTCCTCAAGCTCGTTTCCCAAGACTTTTCTTTGTGTTGAATCATAAGGATATTTTACGACTACACTTTTACAAACCACCCAAAGATACAACTCTGACCACCAGCAAGCAGCTGGTGGTTGTTTCAGTACAACAGTTTGCAATGTTTCTCCAGTATCAACACTTCTGACTGTCAAAACACTATTATTGTAACAGCACGCGAAATACAAATTGTCTGGAGATAATGCACAGCATTTAACATCGGCATTGTTGACAAAAGAAACTCTCGGAGACTCTGCAGAAGTTTCAAACGACAGAAGAAAAATGTGACAATAATTTAAGCAAATAAGAAAATGTGTCTCATCCAAATTTGATATGTAAATAATTTTACAATGACTGGGAAAACAATTGATATGAAACACGTCTATGATTTCTTCGTTTATAAAGTCGTACACTACTAAAGGCGAAGCACTTTGAGAAGATTTTGAGAATATAACACACTTCCTACTTTTCCACTCGAAAGGCTTTGAACAGCATCTATTTGCAACTAGTAGTGTTTCAGCAGTTGGAAAGTGGATATGCTCAATCCTAATGCTTGCATTGAAGCTATCGTTAAAAGAAGGTGAAATCATTTGATAATTATCTTTATACGTCAAACAAGTGTCACCACATATGTCGCCAGCTTTTAACATATCCAACGTTTTAGAATGAAATAAAGCACACTTAATACTGAAATATGGTTTCGAATTACCAGCAAGAATGTATGAGTTACACTTACTAAACCGACAAAATTTTGCCCCAATCGCATTCTCAACTTCTACTAAAAGATCTTTAGTTCTCACATCCCACACTTTAATAAAGTCTCTATCCAACGTAACTAGTCTCATGCCACATGAAGAAAATGAACAGCGATCAATATCTTTAGGGCCATGCGGAATAAACGGTACTTCTTTTTGGTCTCTAATTGAGATGCATGTCCTGACAGAATTCAATAATAAATAAGAAGAGTCTGGAGAAAATCAAAATGCAGGGGCGGATTTTCTGGAGGGGTGCAGGGGGGTGCGCACCCCCCCCAAAATTTTCTAGCACCCCCCTCAGAAAAATTCGAAAATGGCATGCATACTGTAGGTTATTATTATTATAGCCTTTATTTAAGAAACTTATACATTTAGCAGTAAGAGTACAACTTACTGATAACTTCAACAAATGAAATTATATCATATATTATGCTAAGACAAGTATTTATAAAACTAGATATACTACGTAAAAACGTCTAGAGATTAAATATCCAAACGCATATTCAATCAGTTTTAGTAAAAAGACCAGATAAAAAGCTACGACTAAACTAAACTGCTTTGGTGAAAAAAACAAGGTAGAATACTAAACCTCAGAGACTAAGCCTAAAAATTCAGTGAAAAGGCTAAGTATATTAAATCTAAGCTACGAGCGCAAGTCTAATTTTGGCGTGTGAAACGGCTGAATCGAAACCGCCGGAGAACAGTGGCAGAAGACGAACAAAGTCAATTTCCA